TGTTTACCATTTCAGTGACTCCACATTCCTCCCTGAAGATCTTCAAGGTGACTTCTCCCAGTTTCCCTGTCCTGACCTAGCCTTCCAAACGCTACCCCTGTGAGTTTAATGAGGGACTGTGGGAAAGAGCTCCTTCCTAACTGGGTACACATTTGCTGAGTGCCTGGGGATTCTTGGATTTCCAATCCATTATGTCAGGGAACATGTGGCCATTAAGCATTTGTTTAAATTTTTTTTCTTTTATTGATGCCGTCTCGGCCGCCGCCCCCCACCCCGGGGAGGTCTTCATAACACTGGTGTGCAGAAATCCCCTTCCGAACGTCCTCGCTGGAGCAGTCTGCGGACCCGGCCTCGGAAGCCCTGCAGGCGCCTGCCAGGGGTGGGAGAGGGGTGTGGGAGGAGGCTCGTGCCTCTTGAAAAAGGACACCCCCTATTCCCTGGAAGCCTTCCCTTAGATCCACGCCCAGATACAGTGGGGTTTCAACCGCAGTCCAACACAGGGGATCCCCAACCTCTTAGACTCTGGACGGGGTGGGGAGTAGGCCAGCTAAACTGGGTATCCCAGAGCACAGACCAAGGCCCTGGGCAGTCAGGGTGTTTGGCGAACAGGTGGCACAGAGACAGGACAGAGCTGGTTCGTGGTACCGTGATCAAAGTGGGGACACAGAGACGGGGAAGTGTCCAGGCGGAATCAGGGTTGGCACGGATTCGAGGAGACACCGGTTCTTTCTGGGAGTGGCGGGGAGATGGGTTTGGAGTGGCTGGGAAGCTGGGCACAGCCTGGGGGCGCTGTCTGAGGCCCAGCAGGGTCCAGGCGAGTGGGTAGTCCTGTTGGCCACACTGCAGGTGTCACATTTCTGGGCCAGGGTTCCAGTCCCACCAGCCTCATTTGGAATTCCTGCCTGGCACTGCCTGGGGGTCCAGGGAGGGTGTGCCAAATGGGTGGGCACAGTCCATGCTGGGAGTAGGCAGTGGTAGAGAGGGCCCTTGAGTGTGAATGTGTGGGGTGTTGTAGGAGAGGGGATCATAAAGGACAGGCAGTGGGGAGACCCCAACCTCGATCCCCCAGACTGGGAGAGGTGGGCCAGCTCCAGACCTGGTGGTTTGGAGGCCTCAGGGGCTGCCTGAGGTCCTGGAGCCCACCGAAAATTAGCATCTGAAGTCTATGGAAAGAAAGCCCCTTTGCTGTATTAAAACATTATTCCTTTTGTATCTGTAATTCAAATTTGACTGGACATCCTGCTTTTTTGGGGGGCGGGGTACAAAATTAAACTCAGGACCTTGTGTTTGGGAGGCAGGCGGTGGCACCACTGAGCTAAATCCCCAGCCCCACATCCTGCATTTTTATTTCCAAAGTCTGGCAACTGCAGCTCAGAGTCCTAGAATCAGATCGCACACCTGGTCCTCAGGCCATCAGAGGGGCAGCCAATCCCTGGCTCCCTCAAAAGGACCCTTCCTTTGCATGTGTGCCCCCATCAGCCGGGGTCGGGGCAACTCAGAGTAGAGCCTGTTCTGACCACCCCTCTAGGCCTGAGATCTGAGCCCAGCCTCCCCCGGCCTTGGCCCCTACCCTCACCCCATGAGCCTTGATAACTGCTGGCTGCAGAATGGGCATCAGCACACATCCCAGAGGCACCGCAAACATTAACCACAGGGATTTTGTGCTGCTGGTCACTCAGTCCAGAGACGTTCACCCCTCAAATCCCTTCATGGCCCCTCTTCATTCCTGTCTCTGTTCAAAGGCTCTATCCTTAGCTAGGGTGCTCTTCTCTGGTCCCCTAAGGCCTATCCCCCAGCTCTCCCTGGCCTTCTCCAGGTGCCTCCTGGGGCCACTGTCCAGAAGATTCTCTTCTGTGCCAGGGCCCTGATGTTGAGGCCTGCTGGATGCCTGGCCAGGCAAGAGTGGTGTCCAGTGTGCGTGGACCCCCAGCCACTTCTCCTTCATGTCTGCTGTTCATCTCAGCAACTCAGCCTGGTCTCAAGCCTGCCCTGCTTGACCGGCAGGGCCAGGAGGTTGTGGGGAACAGAGAGGGTCAGGATGCTGCCTGCAGGACCTGGCGGCCTGCCCCACTGGCATGGCCAGAGAGCAAGGGGGGACAGCAGGAGAGGCCGAGACCCCTCCCTGACAATCAGAGCTCAGGTCCCACCTGCCAAGCCACCCACAGTTTAGTACACCCTCCTAGCCACAATTCAGTCTCAGGCACAGCAGTGATGGCAAGCAGTCACAGAGCCCTGTGGGGCTGGGGGTGTGGGCAGAACCTGTCCAGACCAGAGCTTCCATCTGGCCTGGGAGCTGCCCAAGGCCCAGCCTGCAGCTGCTGCTGAGACCTGGCAGCCTGGGCCCTTGATCCGGTGAGGGTTGCCAGCTGCAGAAAGTGACAGGGAAGAGGCGGGGCCCAGTGCAGCAGTTTCTGTTAGGAACATCTGGCTCCAAGCAGCAGCCAGGCCAGGCCGCAGGGCTGGCTTCTCTCCTTGCCACTGTCTGGGGGTCCACAGGGCTGCTGAGAGAGGAGAGGCCCTGCTTTCTTCTTGGGAGCTAAAGAAGAGGGGGTGCTCTTCCACTGGGAGACCCTGCCTGAGGGGCTGGAGCACAGAGGGAAGTCAGGACTGGGTGCTGCCTATTGCTGGCCTGGGTGCTGGACTGCAGCATCCTTGGGTATCCCCAGTCGCCAGGCAAGGAGGCCTTGGGCCAGCCACAAAGTAGCGGGCATTGCTGCGTCTTCCACAAGGGGGCGCGCTACTAGCTCTCAGTGGCCACTGGACGGCCACCCTGTCCTGGGGACAGTCACAGGGCCCGGGTGGGAGGCAGAGGAAGGTTCGCTGGATGAGGGATGGACAGGCATCTGACGCTGCGCTCTGGCAGTATAGAGCCCAGGCCTTCCGAATGTGTCTTGTGAGCTGGGACAGGCCCTGTCCCGAGGGTGCCCTGTGTCCGGGACAGTACTCTGGGAGAGTCCTTTTACTGGTCAGCCTCAGGAGGAAAGGGAAGCTCCAATTGTAGCTGCAGACTCCGTCCGTCCTGAGCGCTCCACCCTTTGTTCCCAGGGTATTCTGACCCTTGGATTAAAAATATATATATATATATATATATATGACTCTCCACTCCCCAAGGCCAGGGGAGTCTTTTCTCTAAAGGGTTAATATCCGTGAGGACCTCTGGGTGGGGGTAGGGCAGTGAGAAGCCCACGGCTGGGGCGGGAAGAAGGGTAGGTGTGCGGGGGTACTGCAGCCCCTGGGAGTCCTCTGCAGACAGGGTGTCTGCTCACCTGAGTCCAGGCAGGAAGGTCCCCTACCACGAGTCCCCCTTTCCTCCTGAGTGACCGAACCCAACTCAGGCGGGACCCAGGACAGGTGTTTCCTCTGTCCTCCATCCACGTTTGTAACCGAGTCTCCCACGTGCTTCCTTCTTTGGGGACACCAGTGGTCACCCCCTCGGGGCCCCAGCATGAGGACAGCACACAAGCTAGCACCCCACCCCACCCCCGGGTCTCGGGCCTCCTCTAACAGGGCCAGGAGCCGCAGGGAGGGAGGCTCCAGGTCGCTGAGAGCGGAGACCCGCGACCAGCGAGCCCCGTGGCGCGGTCAGCTGCCCAGCCTCGCGCGTTCTTCATTCCTCACGGGGCGCG